ATTATTAACAGAATACTTACAGTGAAAATAACAAGGATCGGGTGACTACAACATATATCTTCCATACATCTGATTGTTCAGATATGGGATTTTACTGTAAAACTCCTTTATTTGAACAGCTAAAACCGATAAATTTCGTAAGATATTTTATAAATAATAATACAAAGTCTACTGAGAAAATCGTCAAAATCTATGCTGTATAAGCTTTATCTCCTATAGCACTGATTGTTCAGATACCAGTTTTTGCGATATATCTCCTTTATGTAGGAAACTAAACCCAATAAATTGTGTTACCGGTTTACATACCGATCACATAGCAGTGAAAATCACTTAGATTGGTGCCATATAAAGTATATCTTCCATACCTCTGATTGTTTAGATGCGATTTTTTATATAAGTATGTAACTCCTCTATCGATGTATGCAGATGTATTCAAAAGCAGTAATCTGTCAAAGTAAAATTTGCAGATGTTCATGAAAGGTATGAAGCCTTCGGCATAGCCGAAGACAGCGCTGCTCTTACTTGTTTTAAATTAAATTCGTTTTTGATACTCAAACGACTAAAAAATAGCAGTAGAATGATTATCGACTATTCACAGTCGCTAGCTGATCGGGTAATCGACATTGGCAATATCAGCGATAATCGATGATCGGATAATAGTTGATTATCTACTGCTAGTCGACACTCTCAATAGGGGTGATATATTTCTCGTTAAGAGCAATGAGCGGTCCCCATTAGAGTCCGACCGATTCCCAATTTTTTGCCGATGCCGATTCATTAAAAAGCTTCCTGAATATAGATTCATTCAAGAACAAATACTTTTAATAATCCCTAATAATAATAAAAGAAAAACATAAACAAATAACTAAAAAAGTATGTTCTAAGCATACCGCTTATATTTTGCATTGCAATCCATAGTATTTTTCTTATTCAATGTAAAATAAAGGTTTTGATCTTAGCTCCGACCATTCGCTGGTGCAACTAGTAATTTCGCAAGATGCAGAATAAAATCAAAGAGAGATAAGGTTGACGAATGCTTTCACAGACTGGAAATATTTTCAACTACAGCTAGAACAACTAGTCAAATACAACCACATCACCACTAGCGAGCAGCTGGAAAACGCAGTACCTTATTTCACCCAACAACTTTAGTTGGCGATGTGCAATAGTACAACTGCACCAAAACCAGCTCCCCAGGGAAAAAGATACCCACCCTTTATAAGGAACTTAGTGGCAAAAAAACGGAAATTACGAAAACGCTGGCAGCAAACTAGATCTCCAGAAATTAAATAGAAACTTAACTTAGCAGATAAACAGCTACACACAACGATCAAGACATTTAAAAACGACGCATTTAATCGGTTTCTGATTGGTCTCATGGCTGATAAAAGTACAGAATACTCCTTGTGGAAGGCGGCTAAAAATTTCAATAGACCAATGCAACACATTGCTCCAGTTAAATTTAATGAAAGGCAGTGGGCCAAAACTAGTGAGCATAAAGCGACATTGTTTGCTGAGCATCTGTAAAAGACCTTTAGCCCTAATGATGGCTTCGATGAAATAGAACCAACTGGATACTGGTCTGAATGCGATATCCATATTAGTCCACTTACACCGGAAAAAGTTGGCAAACAGATTAACAAAAAGAAATTAAAAAAGTCTCCTGGATTTGATTTAATAATAGCCGAATTTCGTCGTAAATTAACAACAAAATTCAAAGTTTATTTGACCAGCTCGCTAAATAAGTGCTTTAGCTTGAAGCATGTACCTATATATTGGAAATTCGCGCAAGTTACTATGTTACCCAAGCCTGGCAAACCACCCAACGAAGTGTCCTCATATAGGCCTACACGGCTACTACCAGCAATGTCGAAGCTATTCGAAAAGCTTATTTTAGCTTGGCTAATACCAATTATTGAGAACAAGCAACTGATGAACGGGAGTTCACCAATTCGGTTTCAGGAAAAATCACTCAACGATTGACCAAATACACAGAGTTGTAAGCACTATTGAAAATGCTATGGACGAGAAGAAAGTATGTTTCGCAGTTTTCCTTGACGTATCACAAGCATTCGATAAGGTTTGGTACGTAGGGCTACTTCAAAAGCTTAAGTCCATGCGACCACTACAATACTGTAAGATGCTTATGTCATATCTCAATGAGAGGTACTCTTGTGTAAAATACGAAAATGCCTATTTATCTCTAAAGAAGATGAGCGCTGGCGTACCACAGGGGCGCATCTTGTGTGCCCTACACATGCGACCTACCATTGGCAAATCAGTATGTAACCGCAACATTTGCCGATGATACTGCGCTTCTTGCAGTCGGTAACACTATCTAAAATGCTACGACTAAGCTACAAGAAGCTGCTAACCATGTTTTACATCGTGGGCTAAGAAATGGAGGATTAACCTAAATAAAAGCAAATCAGCCCACATAGTGTTTTCTTAAAAAAAAACATCATACAACCAATTTTCATTGACGAGTCAATAATCACATACTTCAACGAAGCCAAATATCTCGGTACTACACTCGACGCCAAATTGCGCTGGAAAGCTCACGTCAAGAAATGATGAAATGAGCTTGATTTGAAATTAAACATATTATATTACCTCATTGGTAGGCGTCCAAGATTGTCAATTCACAGCAAAATTAACATATACAAACAAATTCTAAGGCCAGGCTGGACTTTCGGCATACAATTCTGGGAATGTGCTAGTGAAAACTGCATTACTTCCATCCAACGTCTGCAAAACAAAGTTCTTCGAGGCATAGTAGCGGTAGTACAAAAACAAAAACTATGTTTGTGTTTTGTTTTCGCTTGTACAGAAATGTAAAATTTCAGCTATTCTTAGCTCAAGCAGGAAGAGGGAAAAAAATTCCAACACTCTTACTTCCGCACTCACTCAAAAGAAGTTTTGACATCTGTATGCCAAGGCGAATAAGAGCGGCTGTTCTAGCAACACCCCCTTATATGAATTCGCCTTGCTATACAAATTGTGTTTTCAATGCAGTTTGTTAATAAACACTAACCGTAGATTTTAAAATAATGATGAAAGCATTAATGTAACGTAAATAATTTAACAGTCCACTGAAAAGAACCTAGAAATTTAGCTATTAATTCAAGGATAATCGTAACAATACATATAGTGACGAAAATATAAATATGGAGGAGACATTTTAGCATTCTTTGGCTATCTCCCTTTCGTTTATTCAATGTTTATCATTCTTTTATGAAAGTGTAGCTCGTTAACTAAGAAAAACTATGTAAGTTAAAATTTTAAACTTAAAAAAAAAAAAAATTCTAAAAATCAACTATAAGTCCTTTATTATACTAAAATTTAAAAAACTGCATACTCAATTTAGTTCTATAAAATCTGATTAAACAGTTTCAAACTTTGATGAACGTTTATTAAAATTTGTCGAACTTTTGTTCTACAAAGCTTGAAATTCATTTACAGAGTTTTGTTTAGAAAGTGAGCTATATTTTCATAAAAAAGTAAAAAAAAATTTTAAACAAAGAAAAATAGCCAAAAGTTGCTAAAATGTGTCTTCCCTACTTACATTCTCGCTACCGTACATCATAAAAACGAAACATGAGAACACATTTATGACAGGAGGACTCAGATGCATAATAGTTTAAGCTTTAAAGGAATTAAAAAAGCAAATCGGATCGGCTTAATCTGTCGAACTCTTGTCTCCATTGGCTATTTATATTCTAACATACGTATCAAGATATAAACTTTATCTTGTGGAGACGAGCAGTGAGCGTTCGGCTAAACGAGTCAAAAACTAGTGCGGTCATTTCAGTTTCAACATGAACAATCACGGACACCTATCAGCCACCACCTTCCATCTCACACCACAGGGTAATATGTATTGTAAAGTATTCTCCGAGATCCAAACATTTTCAATAAACATTTTAGCAAGTAATCCTTACTTTAAACATTCAAATCGTCCTTTCATTCTTTCAAATAAACTTTGATGCCCTGCTGGAGTTGCATGCCACACCATTTGTGCGTAGTATAGATATATAAAATGGTTTACATAAGTATGTAAATACTTATTTTTTATTTCAAAATTAAAAAAATATGGGTATATTTTTTTCGGTATAGAACAAACCTAGGGGTGAAAGCATTAAAATTCCGAGTTTACTTTTTTTTTTGGCCAACCTAATACACACACCACCACCACACACCAGCTGCGTCAGAATTGGGAAAGACCGCTCCGAGCCGTTCGCCCAAAACGGAGTTTCAGACAGGCGACTCCCTTTCATGTGACTTCTTTAATCTTATGTTGGAGAAGATAATAAGAGCTGCAGAACTGAACCGCTCAGGAACAATTTACTACAAGAGCGTGCAATTGCTGGCTTATGCCGATAGCATCGACATCATCGGTAACAAAAACCGCGAAGTTTGTTCTGCCTTTT